TAAATGTAAATTTTCTTTTCAAATTACAGAATTGCTACAAATTGTTACAATTGTCTAGAATATGTAATAAATCTCTTTTGATTATTTTAAATATATTGTTGGTTTTACTTTATTATGTCTATAGCTGTAATGCTTTATTTTAACCGAGTAACTCTTCTCATGAACCGAGTTGTTCGGTCGAGTAACAGTAGAAAAAAAATGGACGAGTACACCGAGTACCGACTAGCAAACGAGTACTCATCGCATCTCTAATATTCATATTATCATGCCAGACGAGAGATGAAAGAATTTGTTCAATAGGTTTTATTTCAGATTTCCTCTTCGTCTCAAAAGTACAAAATATTTACTTAATAAAATATTTTACCGCTTAAATTTCCCAGTTGATATTAAATTCTGGAAGGAAAATTAAATGTTCACGATTCTCATGTGGAGCGTCATAATATATGACAATAAATCTCGACTCTGTAGCTATGTACATTAGCATTTGAGGAATCATGTAACTTGCACAAATGTTCGGTCGTTTGCTTGTGATGCCTTTTAATATCGCACTTGTGCCGATTTATGGGGTCATTGTTGAATAAATATATAATCACTTTTTTATGATATATACATGTGGTTGCAGCATTATAAAATATACGAGATATCCCACAATAACAAAAACGATGATGCCCCAAAAAAAAAATTAATATTTTATTATACAAGGTGTAACAATAATGTTCAACCTTGCTTCAGCTGGCCGTCGTCGTAAGTACTGATGATAACAAACAACTTCTGCAAATTTTTTTTTTTCATCATATCAAGTGATGCGACGAACAAGTCGTGTGCTTAATGGTAAGCGACATGCCTATCCATAACACAGGCAATGCCACTCAAAGCTTTAACACGTTCAACGCCAAGGGTTTCCGTGACAAAAATCGTGGGAATGAACCCTAAATGATATATGAACCCTACCCCCTTAACCGTAACCTTCAAAACCGGAACGCAGTAACACTCACATAACTGCTTGGCAGCAGAAATAGGTAAGATGGCAGTTTCCTGAACGAACTCGTAAAAATAGGTTAACACATTATAACTACCAGGGCATTAAATGGATGAAATTGAATTCCCGCTACAGGGTGCCCAAAAATACCGGCGTTTTGTCTTTGTACTGCAATATTGAGCAAAGTAACTCCAAACCCTTAAGTCTTCCAGTCAGTATTCTTTTTTGCATAAACTTCTACATAATGCTAATTGTAATACTAATTATAATTGTACACATCCTACGACTGAGAATTTATACTCCGAAGGGTGCGAATATTTAGTCGGAGCCCAGGTCTTGGTGTTTTTGGTCTTTTAATCTTGCTATCAGCTCAGCTGCAGCCCTCTTCCCGGTGTTTAAATACGAGTATTATACCGTCACATTGTCTGGGTACTTGCTGTCTGTTTGCCTCTTTGTAAAGTTGTTTGTTATTACTAACTCAAGCTTAAATATGAAGGGACCTTTTTGTTCTGCATTGTATACTATGTAAAAACATACTTCACACTTAGTATATCTTTACATAAAATCCTTTTCAGTGTTTTTCGTAATTATTTTCCTTAGCTTCCGCAATTAATTATACGTTATGTAACGTTAAAACCCCTCTTTACTTAACGAATCCACTTTACAACAATTTACGTGCAAAAATCCAATTCGATACTTATACCGTGAAAAACAGCCGAAAACAATGCCGTGTTGTGGGCAAAAGTAGCATGCAGTATACATTCTGCAAACTCAATTTTAACGATATACTCCTACAGTTCCAAATGTTTTGCGCTCGATTTTCGAAGCATTCTTTTGATCATATATACCCATCCCATGCGACGGGCTAAACCCTTTCAAATTACTTTATATAATATTTCTTACGCAGTAAACTTGAAAGCAGTATTTGATATTTTATTTTTATTGAATATGAAATTGATTTATTTTTTGTAAAAATATTCCAATAGTTTGTTATTATTAATGATCAAAGACCTAACAAACATAAAGAAAAATTCCTTTGATCCGACTGGACTTAAACCAGTGTCTGTTGCCTAAGCCTGGCTACAGCTATGCCAACCAAGCTAGTAGCCACGTATAGACAACAGAAACTGCCTTCGTGGCCGAACGGTTACCATGATGGTCTGCTACGCAGAGGTTCCGGGTTCGATTCCCGGGCCGGGGGCACACCTCGGACACTCCATACAACGGTCGAAAATTATTTACCTACTACTACTACATACATCAAGGCGCTATCTGCACATGTGCAAATGTGTGCGTGAAGTGGCTGGGTTACCCATCACTTTCTCACACTATTACGTTACGTGGTCAGAGCGGCAACATAGCGAAAATTCTAACGCGAATCTGTTATCTATGATTCTATTAATAGAATCCTAATAATTATACATGTCTATTAGGTATTTATATCGATATATTATTATATTTTTTTACATTAATTCACTATTATATTTTTATTTTACATTAATTCACTAACCAGAGCAATATTGAAGATTTATTTCAAAAATATATAAAAAGCACTTAAAATGTTATATTTCGGACATGAATGTGTTTTTAAGTAAGGTAGGTAACCAAGGTATTTGAAATTGCGTGTCCAAGTTTAGTTAATAATTAGATATGTTCACTACCTACGCAATATTTATCGGCAATACGAATATAAAATTCGCGAACCCTTGTCTACTAGCTAACGAAGTCATGGTCACGTTTCATTATATTGATATAATAAATCTGTATTTTTTATAGATACATATAGTACTCTGCAGTGAATAAATGAAGAAAACAATAACTGATCGAAGACTGAGCCTCATCTCAGACATAAGTTTTTTTACTTACATCGTTTCATCTTTCGGAAAATGATGTTAAACAGACGTACACAGCTCAATTCACGACCATTATAAATAGTAACGTAAAATGATGTTTTATATTAACGTACAAGTTTCGTAATGAATAAATGAAAACTATATTCAAATATCAAAGCCGTCTTCGCGCGAAAACGGCTCGCCGGCAGCCTTGGTGTCGTTCAGTCAATGTGACAGGCAATATGCGGGGCGTGGTGAGGTATCTAAAACTAGGGAGGGGCGGAGAGTGTGCGTTCTCTTATTCTTTATTCTCTGCCGTGGGAAATATTTGTATGGCCTTGTTATGGATTTGTTCGTCCCGTCACTAGACATTATAAAAAGAAAAATGAATTCTTTTTATAATATCTAGTGACGGGACGAACAAGTCGTGCGCCTGATGGTAAGCTACTCGCCTGTCCATAACAGTTGTAGTGCCACTCAGCTCTTTAAATCGCAAAGATCTGAGGCGCACTGTCTTTGCGCCCGTCACCCTGAGACATAAGTTAACAAGTCCCATATGCCTATAGTTTCACCAGCTACCTTACCGTTCTAAACCAGAACACAGTAATGCTGACATTACTGATTGGGGGCAGAAATAGAAAACGTGACAGTACTTCCCAGGACGAACTCTTTCACAAGGAGCTCTTTTGCTACTACATTTATTTATCTCATGAGTTTGAGTGTAATTTGTGGTGTTTTGTGTGTGTCCATGGCACCCGCGACACACGGTTTCCCTACTGGAGGGCTATGAGTATTTGTTCGGTCTTTGTATAAATAATTATATCAGAATTTAACTTGAATAGCGTGTGATAACCGACGTCCTTGCTTACATACGAGTGATTCGAAAATAGAACTCTTAACAAGAAGATGTATAGGGTTTTATTGTTGTTTGCATTTGTTAGAGCCGATGGCCGCAGCTCCCCAAGCAAATTGGATAAACGCCAACGGTGACTCGAATTTACGTTACTTTCGTATCTCAAAAGGGCCTGTTTAACAATTTAGTCTTGTATTAAGTCAGGATGTTTGTTGGGATTCTAATTAATTCAGAACGTAACGTATATGATAAACTTAAGCTAAAACACGGACAAGGTAATACCTCAGAATATCTTCAAGAGAAACAAACAAGATATGTGTACACTTGTGTTTTAGATGAGTGCCTTATAAACTTAAAATAATAGGTATGTTTTCTGTTCATCCAAACAGGTGGTATTGTAGGTAAGAATGTTATTTCCCGGTTATCGTTTGAAAATCACAACGATGTAGAAGATCATATTTTAGGCAAGTTAATGAAAATTTTGTTCTGAAGGTAGCAACGACGTACATTACATAAATAAGCAGATATTATCTTCTGTAAGTAAGCAAGTGTCTGATTATATTTAAACGAGACGGCGAGATTTTATACTTAAATGGGTTATGTATCTTTTGCCTCACCATTTTGTTGTCCATTGTTCGATTGTCTGTTTAAAGGTAAAACCATGTAAGTGACATTTTAAACAAAAAGTCTTTAATTTATATAGCTATGGTAAGAAAATCACTATCTTTTTGCACGTGAAACTCAATAATAAGAGAGAGAGCTTTATGATTGTTGAGTTGGCGATTTTCTTACAACAGGTACGTTATTTAGAGATTGTTTGTGGAAAATGTCACTCATGTGTTTTACCTATAAGTAGACGATTTAAAGGTTTAAAATCTACTGATCTCTTTGTTATTTTAGTTTTTTTTATGATACCAAGTAACGGAATGAACAAGTCGCGCGCCTGGTGATAAGCGACACGCCCTTCCATAGCATTTGCAGTGTATGTATACATAATTATGATAATTATAATACATATATATATATTATAATACAAAAAAAGGATTCTATACTTTATAACAGGAAATGTAGTTTTTTTAAATTAAATATGTTATTATCATTACAGACTATTTCTCTTGCACTTGTAAGTTATAATTTACGGGGCCGGACACAATGCCGGGCTCAGTGAGGAGGAACGTGCAGATGTTCCGGGCTTTGCCCTCTTCTGAAGCTCGCCGGTGTCATCGCTGCATTTTTAAAGATTTGAAATAGTGGTTGGAGTACTGAGTTGGGAATTTCAAATTAAAAGTATATCTAATAACAATACAATAAACAATTTTTCTGTTATAAATATGGTCTATTCAAATTCGAAAACTTCCGGGTTTTCAACAACCAGCTTGCTGCTGTTGCCACAATACCAAATGATGTTCCCAATAGTGCAGGGTTGGTTGCAGCATTCACTCGCAATTTGTCTGCGCACGCGACGCCAGTGTTCTGCATATAACAGCCGCTGCCGTGTGTTCACTATTTTCAGATCTTCTGGCATTAGTTTTTCTGAAAATAAATATTGTTGCAATTTATTATAGTGATGTCTACTTCAACCCATCCCTTAAGCGATACCCTTTACACCCGTATATATTTTGTACAACTATATATTACGATGAATTATATGCTATCTGTCAAAATATTTGCTGAAAATCACTAATAGCTCGCGTCATTTACATGCCGTTCAAATAAAAAATTACAGCTTTCATGGCTTGAAATGTGACTGAGTGTTTATTTTAAATCAATGATCCTTATTATTTTCATACATTATATTTTCATTATCGTAAATTCAGTTCTAAAAACGATGTGGTATCATGCCTTTAATAAAGATGTAAGAAGTGAGAAATACCTTTTTTTGTTTTGCCTCACTGTGAAATTAAATAGATACTATCCAGTTAGTGACAAAGTTAAGAAGCAAACTACGAGCGGTTAGAACATTTTCCGTCTAAATTAGCTCTGCTGGGAATCGTTCCCAGGACCTCAAACGTATTATCCAGGGAGTCGTTTATCTTGCTAGCTTATAAATCTGTTTCGAATCTTGTTTGCGTTAAGAAACTAAGAGATATCACACTTAATGCAACACTGCACACTAACTTAGTTAGAAGGAGAATCAGTGCCAACAATGGTAAAAGTTTTTAAATATAGAGTCTGGAATTCTTAATAGGAATATTGTTCGACAGAAAACTGAAAAAAAACTAAAAGAAAAGTCCTTAAACACTTAGAGGATGGAAAAAAGGAATTATAAAGGAAAAGGAGTAGTCTAAGCTTAAAAATAAAAATTTCAAAATATTCAAATATTACCAAAAAGCATTTACAACGTAAGTCAACATACAGCCTCAAAACAGATTTCAGGGTCGACTGACAAACAAAGTATTCAAACAAAGGTCAAAAGTACGATGTTTTTTTAAGTTTATATAAAGAAAAAAGAGAAAACGAACTTTTCCAAAATAGTATTTGATGCAATCGTTGTATAATGAGGGTTCTTAAAGAGAAGTACCGTGGTACAATAATAGGTAAAAGATTTTAAGAACTAATTGTTGCATACAATATTTTGTAAAAGTAATGATTGCATACAATTCTTTTTCTTCGAGTAAATAAAATAATGAAACAGAACCAATACTTAATATTTTTTTTCTTCTTTCCATAAAGGAAAAGGCAAAGGTTTTACACCATACAGCCAAGTCTTGGTACATTATTAAGTCTTTTGAGCCATGTCTTCGTTTAATTATGTTTCTGTAAATATGGCCGCCACAAAGGGGAGAGGGAATTTGAGGCGGCGTGCTTGGATTGGCTCGGGATTCCTTAGAACGTGCAGGTACGGGTATTTTAGTTCGAGATTCGTATAATTTCGTGTTTTAATCTTCGATTAAGGCACATTAACACTATCCTATTCCACTTTAAACTAGATTTCACAAAATAATTGAAAGTCAAAATAAAAACGACACTTTTCCCTCCAAAAGGCCCAGAGCGAATCCCCAATACTTAATAACAATTTATGACAACAAACGCAAGTATTTTTAAATAAATTTTAACCATTGACTTACAAATAAATGGACGACGGGTCTAATACAAAAACCACGAAAAAAAGTCCCAAGTCAACCTATTCGAAATTTAAATTAATTGTAATGTCATCGCAGTATCGTGCTGTCAGTCGAACAAATGAAGACTAAAGCGGAGTTTGGCGCTCTGTATACGATTTTAGCGCCTTACAAGTGCGGACACTTTTTAGCGCGGACCCGACGTCCATATAATTGTAAGTCAATGATTTTAACCCATTTATTAGGGTAGGCAAAGGTTCCACTATGCAGCCTCTTCATATATTTAGACGAAAGCAAAACAAACGCTACAAAACAAAAACCAAAGAGATAGAATAGAAGTTTTTTTTTTTTAATTTTATTTTCCAAAACAAAAATATACATTTACAAATATAAATATATATATAAGTGGCCACGTAGCGCGTATATTTTAACCAATCTTTTTTTTATACAAAGATGTATGCCACGGTTGTAAGACTTTTAGGCCAATTTAACGAATCATGAGACAGTATAGCGTTTGAGTAGCATCCTAATTTATATTTTAATTTAGCAAAAATACGGCGTTCTTTTTTTGAAACTCATTGAATTAAATAAAATTTTTCAGCTCAGTGGCGAGTACCATAGACAATAGAATTTTGATTGATGCTTAATTCAAAAGAACGCCTTTATGATGTGGTCTAACAAATTGTAATTGACAAAGTGCGAAAAAAAATAGCGGGGTTTTGAAGTTACGAGTACAGTTTTTACAAAGATTAATTTTATTTTAAGCATATTATGAAGAAAATATGAAGAAAAAAGTTAGAACGATATTCTTTATTTTAAACCAAATCCCAAGTCTCGGTCAAATCCCAACGGTCTTTATTTTAAACCAAATTACAAAAGAGTTTATCCTGAAAAGTCCAATAATTCTGAATTCAAAGTTATTGTTCAAAGTGACAATAATGTGATGTAAGTGAAAGCGAAAACAAAAATATGTATTGACTCCCGCCGCTTAAAAGACTATATAGAAAGCCCAAACAAGAGAACTAAGTTATTTAAGAGAAAGTGAAAACATAATGTTGTGGAACCACAACGGAAAATATTTAATGAGGATCCCGATAATTAAACGAAGACATGGCTCAAAGGACTCGTATCCAAGCCAAAACTCTTAATTAAAAAAAATAATTGTAATTGACAGATTAAAGGAATAGAAAAAATATTTAAAAGAACAAATGTACAGCTTTTACGCCGAGAAATATAAGTTTACGAATGAGCCACCGCAAAACTCCCGATCCCGTGCGGACTTCTATATCCCGAACCACTCCAACACGTCCCGGAAAAATCTAGTAACTCGTTCACAGCATAGTTTATTAAGACAAGTATGGTAACTCCATACAAACGTAGCAGCACGGCTTGTATGTGTGCGCGCCCGCCACGCGCCTTTTATGGACGCCCATATTCACATAATCTCGTAATGCACTCGCGTTGCATAGCACTGGTCGTCCCAAAGCGCCTTTCATTATTATGCGAATGTTTACATCCGTAAACGACGCGCAACGTTAGCTCACACGTACACTGCGCGTTATTTTGTACAGAGTTACCATAATTCTCTTATTTTACTATGTTCACATGGTCAGACACCGCGTGGGTTGCAGCCGACGTAAAAATGGAATAATGCGCGCATCCGCCAGAACCGTGCGATCCAATCGCAACGGCCTATTCATCAGTAGCACCGCACAAACCGAAAGGGAGTAAGGTTATCTGAAGCTAATAGCAATATGTGTTCCCCACTCTAGGCACAGAAAGCGGGTACTGGATAAAAGCTCCAAAAAGTCGAGTAGAGCGCGGGTGCTGCAGTATCACCTTACAGTCGCCTCACAGCCAGATTTACTCCGGATGGATGCATCCGACATTATATCTAATATGCATAAACAGATATAATACTACCAAGCGGTCGTGCTGCAGACTGTAATGAAGGATAAATGGAGACGTAAGAATTGGCGAACGCGGCAAGGGCTCTTCAGCAGTACCTACCTGCGGTTGCATCACCGACGAGTCCGAAAGTCGTGCAGTTGTTATTCAATTTTGCCGGACGTACAGGAACAGCCGAAAGTCGCAAGTGGCCAGGCTTCAGGCATCTCGCCACTGGCGACCCGGACCGTGACGACAGTAAAAACTCACAAAGGGCGGAGAACACAATGCTCACCCGCTCCCTCACTCCACTTCGAGCCCCTATATCTTCCGCGTAGACGCGACACTTCAAAAAATTATACATTTCGTATAATATCAAATTTATATAAAAACATTATAATTTATGTTTATTTATCTACACACATATCATGAACCCTCTACGATGTGTACAAAAACAGCAATTTACGACCAGCATAAACTGTTTAGTTAGAACAAATTTCTTATCTGTGAAAATGTTATTAATGCTTCGTAAAAACATCAAAATTAATTTTATTATTACATCTCCGAAAAACAAAACAATTTGATTCGACCTCAATTTCTTATATCAGTCCAGATGACGTTTGACGATGAAATTTCAATAGCAACCAATTTTGACAAATTTCACACGTTACTTCATATCGAATCATTTTTTTTTTATTAAGGCTTTGGCAAAGCCATCAGCCTAAACATGAAGTTTGTTTCTGTAAATATGGCCGCCACAAAGAGGATAGGCAATTTGAGGCGGCGTGTTTGGATTGACTCGGGATTTCTTAAAACGGGCCGATACGGATATTCTAGTTCGAAATTCATATAATTTCGCTTTTTAATCTTCGATTAAGGCACAATAGCACTATCCTATTCCACTTTAAACTAGATTTCACAAAATAATTGAAAGTCAAAATAAAAACGACACTTTTCCCTCCAAAAGGTCCAGAGCGAATCCCCAACAACTATCGAATCATATGATAGTTGCGCCCGACTCTAGTTTGTCTATGAATGATTGGTGTGCTCAACAGAGCGAAGCGGTGTTTCACATCGGGGCACCGGCTTTTGCTATACAAAGCTCAGGTTCGGCCCCATATGGAATACTGCTCGCACCTCTGGGCTGGAGCACCCAAGTATCAGCTTGATCCACTGGACTCCATCCAACGTCAGGCTGTTCGAATTGTCGACGACCCTATGCTCACAGACGGTTTAGAGCCCCTTAGTCTGCGGAGAGATGTTGGCTCTCTATGTGTGTTCTACCGTCTGTATAACGGGGAGTGCTCAGACGAACTCTTTGAGTTGGTGCCTCCGTCACTCTTTTACCACTGCACGACCCGCCGAAGGAGAAGACTCCATCCCCACTTCCTCGATGCGTGGCACGTCACGACCACTCGAGCATCTCGTTCGTTCCTTCCCCGAACCAGTAAGATGTGGAATGGCCTTCCTCCTGAAGTGTTCCCCTTGCGCTATAACATGGAGTTCTTCAAAAGACGTGTAAACAAGGTTCTCCGGAGTCGGCAACGCATGGGTGATGCCTCTGGTATTGCTCGTGTCCATGGGCGACAATGACCACCTCCCATCAAGTGGCTTGTCTGCTCGTTTGCCTACTGGTTAACATAAAAAAAAAAAAAATAAAAAATAAAAAAAGAACTAAATAAAAACTACGGTTGTGTGACATGCTTGAGAAAGTTTATAATTGCCGCTATTTCCCCAGTCGTAACGTGCGGTTCGTGAACACATCATAGAGAGCTTATAATAATAAGTATAGATAAAGCATAAAGCAGTATATGTAACTGTAGGTACATAATTATACAATAAAGCACTCGTGTGATGTTTTTATGAGACTGGCCTGTCGGCTCGTTTCATAAACCCACCTTCGTGTTTACTGCCTTTCATGTAACAGTCACTTAAACTACTATTTATTGATATAGTTTTTCACGAATCTGTATAGTTATACGAGCCCTATACCGTATATGTCGGGCTCGGCCTGCGGCGCGTGGTCGCTTTCAGATTACGGGGTGTGCTCTTCGATGGCACAGTGATTACTACTACGTAACGTACTATGGGCGCTTGATGAGGAGGTTCCAGATTCGATCCCTTATTTGAGCCAATTTATGAAAAAAACATTTTTAAGTTGGTCCTGGTCAGGGTATTCCGGGTATTGCCCTCAGAATTATCGTTACTCTGGTACTCATAGTACAGGAAATTCCCTAGTTGTGTAGTAGAAATTTTAAGTGATTGTCTGGCCTTTTTTCCCTAAATACTTCTCTTTTTGGCATAGCTTCCAACAAAAAAGAATCTAACAGAGAGACGGTCGAGAGACAACAACGCTTTAAGTTGTATAAATAAATAAGATATTATTTTCACTACATCGGGAAGCATGCCTGACATTTTGAACGATTGTGAAATCTAGTCCCCGTATACTACCTACGTAATGTGGCGTGCAAATGCTTCGGGCTTCGCCCTCTGCTAGACCTCGGCCTGCGGCCTCGGCACTTATGACTTAAAAGAAATTAAAATAGTTCTTTAATGGCGGCTATATTGATAAATGGAAAAAGTAAATTTTGTCTGCAAATTATTATTAAACACCCATAGATAACCCCTCATGGCGATTTTCAGTAGAATTAGAGCAAATTTTCTTCTACCACCAAAAATACTTCTATGGCAGCCATATTGAAAAATGGCGATAAATTAATGTTGATCACAAATTATTATCAAGCACTCCTAGAGACTCCCACATGATCATTTTGGAAGGGATCAGAACAATTTTTTTTCTACTGCCAACAAACGCTTGTATGGCGGCCATATTTGAAAATGGCGAAAAACCAATTTCAAGCACAAATTATTATTTGGCACTTCTAGAGGCCTCCACATGCCAATTTTCAGCTGAAAAAGAGCGAGTCTCTTTCGGCAGCTATTTTTAACTTAGCTATTTTTACTTATATGGCAGCCATATTAAAAAACGGCGAAAAAAACTTTTGACCCCAAATTATTATTAAAGACTCCTAAAGACCCCCCCATGCCAAGTTTCAGCCGCATCGAAGCAAGTTTTTCTTCGGCCGCCATTTTGGATTTGCCATCTTGAATTATTTTTTACACAAGCAGTTGACCATTATTACCCTCTATGACATCCCTTCCAGCACCTCCTACCTATCTCTAAGAGTTTCCGTGATAGAAGGCTTCGAAATTTGTATGGCGGCCATCTTGTTTATTTGAATTTCGAACATTTTTCACTTTCTGCAGAAATTGACCAAGGTGTATCTCATAAAAGTCCCCCATGTATTACTTTTTCCCACCATATCGGGAAGTATGCGTTCTATTTTTCTAAGTGAGTCAGGATTTGTAACTTTATATATATAATGTACACTTCCTTTCATGTCGGTTTTGTTATTTGTTTATTTATTTATTGTTGATTTCTTTACTTTTTTGAGAGGCTCATTCGCCCCGGACTTACTGAAAATCAGCGCTACGTAACGGTTTAAAAAAAACCGATTGAGACTAAAGCTGAGCAAGTCCCGATTGTACAAGAAGCAACACGCATTACGGTGAATTCGGTACTGCATAATTATGGTATTTATTTTGTGTATTTTATTTTTATTTCTAAATTGTTCATCATAATATAAACAAAACAATATTGTTTATATGCGTGTCTGTGCTTGTGCAATAAACAATTATCTTTCTTTCTTTCAATGTAAGTATGATTAAAAATGGGACTCGCGGGAGTAAATATTGACTCAAATAGAGACATCCCTACGGCGGTTGAGCAGGGAAGACAACCCGTACGGCGATTCAATGGTAAGCAAGGCCTTCTTTTTTGCTGGGGAAAAGAAGTTATCACACATACCGGGAGGTACACATCACCAGTAAACACAACGTCAACTTTAGCGGCTTAAGTCGCCTTTCTAGCTCTCGATCGGGTAAACATTTTCTCTCAAACACCACCTAGAAGCTGACACCAAAAATGGGAGCGATACAAATTAAATCGAAAACAGCGCATAATAATTTCCAAACTGTATTTACGTCGGCAACATAGTAACACCATATTTTTATCAATGCGTGTACATGTCACTGTATTTTATTGAAACAAAAAATATAGACGACGCCGACATATGAAACATTTAAATGTTCATCCAAAAATCATCCTTAAGGATGATTTTTTCAACTCATAATGTTATAGAAATAATAGAAATAGAAACCATTTCATTCATTCAATCATTTCAACATCATCATTTCATTCATTTCAATCATGTTATGAAATTTAATACCAACATTCAAATCACAAAAAAATATAAATGCTAAAATACATAAGTATGGTTTATTAGTAAATACTGAATACTTAGGAAATGAAACTATTTTTCCGGATTTAAATCGCGTATATTTGTTTTTTCAAACAAAAAAGGTTTGTTTGAAAAAACAAATACGCGTTTCATTTCCTATGTGTAACAATCGCGAAAACCTAAGTACTCGATACTGAATACTTACCAAGAAAATTTGAAAGAAAGAACATTTTGTCGTCATATTATTTTTTTTGGTACAGACCATGTATAGACATTTAAGCATTTGTATTTTTTTTACAATTTTCTTGTTTTTTTTTGTTTTTTTTTTATACAACCTGTTTGCTAATACGCACACATCTAAGTACATAATCAAATTTACAGTACACATGGATGTACCTTGTAACTAAATGCTTAAAAACAGGAAACAAGTAAAATAATAAATAAAAATATAATTATATAATTAAAATTATAAAACAAAAATATTAAATTGTTTTACATAACGAAATAATATAAATAAAATAAAATAAAATAAAATAAAATTGTTTATTCTATCTATAATTAAATGTTTGTCAGGTTAATAAAATATTATTATTCCATGTACCAATAACTCAAATGGACTGCTAATCTCCATACTTACAGATGGTAACCCTGAAAAAGTTCAAAATTCCGTCATATCTAGATGACGCTCATGAATAGCCCGCAAATAGTTTATATAATGTAAATGCCCGTGAATATCAATTATTTCCTATATTCAACATACCTACACTCATGGACATATTTACAGGAACGCTAAAAATGGTTGAATTATGATAACAACGTTCATATTAACCACTGACCATATATACCAGAATGTTTAATCTAAATCAAAAGATGATTGAAGTCATTCTTTTTTAATTTAAACGTTGTCATTACATTATGAACATTGTTATCATAATTCAACCATTCTTAGCGTTCCTGTAAATATGTCCATGAGTGTAGGTATGTTGAATATGCTTAATACGTACCCATTAGAACCGATGAAATATCCCTTTTAATAATTTTGTATTCTTTGTCGCAAAGTGATTTAATAAATTTGGACAACTTTTGACTGCACTGTATCAACTGGTCAGATACTCTATATGTGACTGTTGTTGTTTCTTTCGAATTATCTGCGGATGTGCAGATAGGAATTATTATCACGACTATAATCTGAAAAAAAACAATCGTTCATATACCAAATACTCGTGAGAAAATTTATTAACAAAAGCAAATTTGGTGTGACACACCTATTTATAAAGTTAAATAATGTTAACTTGTTGATTTAACTTGCTTTACAAACTTAGGTCACCTGTTTTATTTATCAATAGGGCGCGACTTCGGGCGCGAACCCTAACCCTACAGTCTTGGAAAGTATGTACAGAAAAGTGTAAAGTATATATATACAGCGGGTGACTTTTATAGTTCAGCGAAATTTTAATGAGAAATTCTAGTCATGAATAGACGTGAATTACTTTTGATATAGTGATGTATGGTTGTTTCGTACATTTATAACGAATATGTACAAATGTTTAGTTTTCTTGTTTTAAAATATCAAACCGTTGGGGATCTTGTACATAATAATAATAAATACATACATATATTTGCTAATAATAATAGCAAAATACAATAATTGAACAAACAGAAGATAAATTCCTTCAATCTGATTGGATTCGAGCCAGCGTCTTTTGCGTCACGGTAGCGACAAGCCCATAGTTTGGTGAAATTACAGACACATGGGGCCTGTCAACTTATTTCTCAGGGTGACAGATGCAGTGGCAGTGTCCCTCAGACCTTTGCGATTTATATATAGCTCTGAGTGGCACTGCAACTGTTATGGACAGGCGTATAGCTTACCGCCGACACACGACTTGTTCGTCCCGTCACTTGATTTTATACAGAAGTCAGATTGACGGATTTTTCTTTGTATCTGTTCGATTTTTGTATCTATAATAATAACAAACTAATGTCGTATCTTCACAAAAAATATATGAATATCACAGTATAAAAAAATCATGATATTCAATAAAATAAATATTTAAGTACATTACACAGAATGTTTTTTTTACTGGGACAGTATTGGATAAACCGAAACTATAGGAAGCACAGGGAAACTGTCTTAGAAACTATTTAGTCTTTTTTTGTGAACAGTTTTTGGTCAAGAGCGAGTTGTCCATATAAATGAATAAAATTGATTATTATTTTTTTAATGCTGATAGATCCAGTTTTATTTATGTAAGGATCATTTGATTGCATTGGAAGAAAGTCCAAAGTCTCATATGGCTCACAATAAAATGGTTATATCAACTGTGACCGTTGAGAATTCCATAGCTCGTCATATTACAGAATTGACTTGCGTTCTTGATTTTACTAATGTAAATTGGAACACTGTACGCATAACACTTAAATAGCTAGCAATTTTACTTTCAAAACGTTGTCTAAAAATCAGCTATGACTTTACAGAACATCCTAAATCTATTTGATAAATAGGAAATGAAACTATTTTTCCGGATTTAAATCGCGTATATTTGTTTTTTTCTTCAATGAAGACTGTACCACCTCAGTCAACCGTAACCATGGGACCTGCAAAGGGCCCGAAACGTCGGTTTGTTTGAAAAAACAAATATACGCGACTTAAATCCGGAAAAATAGTTTCAGGAAATGTGTAACAATCGCAAAAACCCAAGAACTCTATTTGATAAAATTTAGAAAAATTAATACAAAATCACATACGTATAACAGCTTCATCGTGGCGATTACACCAAGTGCGGGATGCTTCTTTCACAGATGTTACCTGGCGAATAACCGAAATACGTCCGTACTGGGTTAAAAATAACTTGTCCCTAGTCCAGACTTCGGAGTTACATAGAACTTGTTTACATCGATAACGGGTACAAAATATTGTCTTTTCAAAGATAAGGGAACTTTGTAGCGTGATTTATTTGTCCATTATCTAGGAAAAAGACGTAAAGTCAGACGTTAGATTTTATCATTCGCTATTTTGCGGAATTTTAATATGCTGCGGTCGTTCCACCTAAAGATTTACGTGTAAATTATTTTATAAATTACTACATAAATGTAATTTACATTTGAACGCTACGTAAATGACGTAAGGTATATTTACGTCATTTATTCAAAATCGCAGTTTAAATTGACATTGATAATTGTACATATATTCTTATGCTTGATGTTAATGAGAATTGTTAATCAGAAATCCCTGAAACTATATTATCTTTATGACCGATCTATTTTAATTAACTGCCTCCGTGGCCGAACGGTTACCATACCGGACTGCCACGCAGAGGTCCCAGGTTCGATTCCCGGGCCGGGAGAAATATTTGTATGGCCTACAATTATTTCTCTCGTGAGTTTGGGTGTAATTTGTGGTTGTCTATGTGTGTGTCCATGGCACCCGCGACACAGGGTTTCCCTAGTGCGGGGCTATGTTGAGTGTGTGCGTTATGATTATTATGATTATTATTATTTGCCAGTCTGAGACATAAGTTGACAAGTCTCAAATGCTTGTCATTTCACCAGCACCCTTAATCTTCAAAATCGGAACGCAGTAATGCTCACATAAGGGTAAGGTAGCAGTATTTCCCTGGATGACCTCTTTCGCAATAAGCTCCACTGCTATTTAAAATATATTTGTCTATTATACCAATATTTTTGTAACCTTCACAGAACACAAAAGTATTTGACTACAAATTATCTTAGACTTGACAAATCATTAACCGTGGAATAATTCAATTAACGACACTGGTTGCGTGTAGTTTTTAACTCTAATGCTCCTCAATGTGTGTGTAAAGACCGAATTAGTCAAAGTTATTTATAGTTTACACAAGCAGACCCTTGCTCCAATTTAATGAACATTCTTATAAATTTGGTTTCTTTGTAATTAGTTTACTCAGCCACATTACATAGACCTCACCTACTTTTGTGATAAGTAGCAGTGGACCTGAGTGCAGTTAGTAACAGAAACCTGATAGGGACATATTGAAATGAACTAAAAGTAAAAATGCATATCTGTCCTTTTTACCCGACTGCGTCAGAAGGAGGGTCGTTGAAAAACATTTCAAGTATATGTACGTCCATTTCCAAGTCACGCTGTACAGCCGAAACGACTCGATAGATTTTGTCATATGAGGTGTCGTTAGATTCGTCTTAATTGCGGGAGTATATAAAAAAAAATAGTGAGGGGGTTAGCTTTATTTTTTGGTGTTATTATATATAGCTGAACCAAAAGAGATACATCAAATTAAAGTATCAGGGAATTATAGATCTTAAAACCATCTACATAAAAGTCCAAGCAAACATTGTTCTATCTCCTAAGGATAAAGAACAGTAACCATGTTTGTCTTTCCAAATTTAATATTATTATACATTCTTTAACAAAGAGATATTTCGGTCAAAGTCAAAACATTTATTTCATTCACCGTTCATAGGCCTCAAATTATTGATTCATATCAACATAAATTCTGTAAGGGCGAAGCAATATCAATTCTAAAATGAAATATAATTTCAATTACTTATTACAATTACTAAGAAGTTACATAAAGAACAATGGCAAAGTCCCATATACATTTTTGTGGCCATAATTTGTGTGCGTCTGTTTATGAAAAATATAAAGATTAAATTCCTGAAGAAAATTGGTTTCAGGTTTACTATGCTGAGAAGTCTGGAATTAGAGATATTCCAGTTTGAATTTTTGGAGATTATGTTTTGCATAATCGAACAAAATAAATTCGATGTATTATTATATCAAAATAAATTGGTTTTATTGTTTTGCAAAGTTAAGAAACATACGTTATTAGTTTACCCCCGCCGCGTATATACATATATGGTTGATTTGCCTTTAGTTGATAACGACGACGTCTGCGTCGATTATACTTCATCGACATTAGAAAAATCACTTCCCTATGATGCATTCAGACGAGATAAAAATCCTAGAAATGCTAAAATTTTAATGAATTCTTATTAGCATTCAATAACTTCGTGACAGAGATTAGATTAGATTACTTTCGATTCCACGTGAATGTATTATTGTGCATTATAGTATTCATAAAATTGTGTTAGACAGTTAGGCGATTAATCCGAGGGATTTACGTAGCGTCAGGTATAAATTCAGCTCTACGGCGTGACGTCGTGTAGTAGAGTCACTCAAGTTAATCGACCACGACGGTGAGGGCGTGCTTGGTGACATCGCAATTAATCATTAATACTGAGAAGCTCTCGCAACGTACATACGTAATGGTTAAAGTAGAAAAACCACGTATTTGGTAAATTACTTTATCTAGGAAATGAAACTATTTTTCCGGATTTAAATCGCGTATGTTTGTTTTTTCAAACAAACCAACGTTTCGGGCCCTGTACAGATCCCATGGTCACGGGGGCGTGTAAAGGTCCCGAAACGTTGGTTTGTTTGAATAAACAAACATACGCGATTTGAATCCGGAAAAATAGTTTCATTTCCTATGTGTAACAATCGCGAACACCTAAGAACTCGATAAATTACTTTATGATCAAAAATTGCAGCTACTTTTATCCAATTAACTTTGAGTCGATTGCGGCATTTTTAATTCAATGGTTTTGAATATTATCGACTTAATCAACAGAATTAAGGTAAAAAAAATATTATAGCGAACATTTTACTTCATTCAACATCTGCAAACATCGTTACTATGTATTGCTGAGCTTGATGATATTCAATTAAATATTAGTATCACTAGTAACAAACTTCACATTTGAATAAAAAATACTTCAAGCTTAACTTCCAAATTTAATCGAGCAACTAATATACCTTTAAGAAAATATATAGATCGCGAGCGGTAAAAGCAATTAGAAGTTTAGCGGAATTGCTAATCTCCCAAGGTACAGCAACGCCTCGGTTTGAGACCGCTTTAGGGCCTAAGAGGGTGCACTTACTACCTTATGGCGACGTATTTCTCTCGTTGACATTTAAGGCGATCATCTCATCTAGATTTTCGTAAAGAATAAAGTCGTTCCGTAAAGAGTTAAGCTGAGTAATGGTTTATATCGAATATAGGAACTGTGATCTGCTGTGTATTTTCAGAGCATAATATGTTAAAGCCAATCGATCTACTGTTGCGTAATTTTTCTAAAATATAAAATGGTGGAAATTTTTCCGGAAAAATTCCCGAAAAAATCGAAAAATATAATTTTGAAGGTACGTATTGTGTTCTACGTTTAGAAATATATTTTGAAGTTTTATTTAGCGTGAATTATAAAATACTATAGCTATATTGACCTACAAATAGCAAAAACCACTTAGGAGAGAAACGATTTCACTACAGCGAAAAACCTTTTTAACGGTTGCATCGTTTTCGTTCAGTAATTTCAACTTTTGATATGTGTCAACTTGTGGAAAATTATAGGAAAAATCATTCAAAAGATCATTCAAGATTACAAAAATAATGTCTTTTTAATACTATGCTGGTAATATACAATTTTCACCGAGTGGAGCACACAGAAGTTGTACAACAGTTCAGTACACAACCTCATCTTCTTAAAATACATGACTTTAATCAAGCTGCATTGAGCACGTTCGACATCAAGAAACCTCGTTTTCACCGCACCTCTCCAGACAGGTATGCAATACACTAAGACAGATTGTACTAAAGATATGTATACTTCTTTAAGCAGGTCTCTAGAGGAGCCACGTGGCCCAGCGACTCTTGTTGGCACCACATGCCTTAGTGATTTCAAAATCCATTTTATTTCCTAATTCGCAGGACAAATACAGGTGTTTTTTTCCGCATTTAAGGTAAGGAAGCTATGTCGTAGCCACTTTCCTATCTGCTCCAAGCTTTGTTCAGCGGTGTACATAACAGCTTCCCAGGTTTCACCAGCGAAGACTACAGCGGTGTCGTCAGCGTACGAAAATATTTTTGCATTTGTAATATGCATTCCACAAAGGTCATTTATATACGAGTATATTAGGAATAATGTTGGTCCAAGGACATTTCCTTGAGGGACACGGAACGACACCTCTGCATCTTCACTAGTGTAGCTTTCTAATTTTACTTTTTGTTTCCTATACAATAAGTAGTCTCTGAGAAGACAGAGTGGGGTCATGAATCAACATTAATCAATCTGAAAGTAAAAGAAAGTAGTAGAAAATAGTATCTATTAAGTGGATGAGATCCGCATGAATACTTTCAACAATGTAGGCAATGTAGGCTTAGTATACATACGGAGTTTAAGAGATTACCAACGAACAAAAATTGTCACTGACCATGAGACGTTAAAAATTACTATTCCTCGAATCTTTTATTCAACATGCGGTTTGATGACAGCGGTAAAAACGCAATACAATGCTTGTGTACAGGGAAACGTTTCGGCACGTTGTTATGTGAATTTGTCTCTATTGCTTTTAGCGACTTTTTGACAGGGCGTTCTGTTTGTAATAAGAAACTACACAGAAATTGCATTTTTGTGTATTTGTTGTTTGTTCATCTTTTAGTGTTGTGTGGATCTTAAGAGCCCTCATGCCAAAAAAGTTTTGACGTTGGCTCCGCCCACATTCGCCGCCCGCTACCAGTTCGTCGCAGAGCAAACCGATCAAAAGTAATTTTCGCGCGCTTACCGTCGACCCGTAAACATTGAAGCCATAGAATCGTATTCGACTACTTAAAATGTTTATTACACTTCCTTTATTCAAATAAACGTATTACGTATTTAAATATCTAACCCTAATTCTAAAGTACAATTTGAAGAGAATGAGTGAATACATCGCAAAATTTTAATTTTTTTTATTTATTTGTTTGCAAACTTTACAGCTT